TTGCTCGCTGCGTGACAGAACCGTAACATGATGATCGACTGAACTCAGCTGTTCTCAAATAGATTCAAGCATTCCAGTTAGGATAGAGCGCAAAGCAGTGCTAGTGAGAGCTCATCTAGCCTAGCAGTCTTATGGCGTTTCAAGTAAGGTACAATAATATTCATTAGTCGAGGGAGCATGTAAACTCATAATCCAGAGCTCAAAATGAGTGGATCGAATGAAGAACAAACATAAAGGCACAGGGCCAACTAAACTATTGTTGAAAATATTCCGCCGAGCGATCTAGACACCAGCCTTTGTTATATATTAGTTTCTGTCTGAGAGTACACTCATTTGTGCACTCCACGGTTGCACGTGGGCTAAAGTACTACCAAGGCGCTCAAACCTAGACATGAAAACGATTACGGTCCATATTCAAAGGGCTTTGGCGCGAAAGCCTGAAAGAAAAATAGCGGTGACTGGCGTAAGATTACCAGTATTCTAAGTTTAAGGAAACAGGTTGGCATATTTGTTCAACCCCCCACCATGGAAGGTCAGAAAAGTTTCAGCCTACTCGCGGTGCTGAACGTGAAGATGACCGAATTGGGTCAGCGCATGTTTGCTACGCCAAACGCAGTGTAAGTCAAATCAAGCTCTGCAACGCACATGAATCCAAGAAGTTGCGTTTGTACTACTCATATTCGTGACTTGAACGTCGGTTTTACCAGGTTTATTTCCTAAATGCCTCCGTCGTTCGATTTTTTCGAATAAATTATTAACCACTTGCGTACGCTGACAGGCAATCTTCTGACCCAAAATTTAGCTATCTATACCGGCTTTGAATCCTCTCAACTTTTTCACCTGGGTAGACGATAGCTTGGATCATGATTTGGAGGTGTAATGAAGCATCGACGCAAATAGATCCCGACCGAAAGCCCGATATTTTCTAGGAGCTTCCAAGCAGAGACCGGACCGACCTCGCCAGCCCTTCGTTTCCCGTGTCGTATTTCCCAAAGGCATTCACAACTATAAGCTGAGGCATACCGTACAAAGGATGCAAAACTTGGGTCGTCAAACTTATTGTATGGCGCAACGATCCTGACCTCTGAGTCTTGTCTGTAGTATCGTTTGTATCAGTTCACAAATGTTGGCTTCCGGGAGTGATACCATCCGAATTTCGAGCAAAATGTTAGCGGGTAATGATGTTAGCAGTCCAGTGGTTAACCAGGCATGTGTCACTGTATACTCTCCAGTCATACATGGACATAGCACGCCATACAGAATGTTCTCGTTTATTAAACGGCCGTAAGGCCGTAAAAAGGTGATCAAGAATGATGTGCTTCTGTAGTTGCGTAGTTGTGTCCATTCACTCTGGTGAAACCAACAAGTAGCGGACGACACCACGCAGTGATTGAGATCGTGTGAAACCTTTCACGGTCAAGCTGAGTGCTACATATGTCTTGGATGTCCACATCCGGATAGGAGTGTATTGTTGTAAAGATACTTGAGCTTTTCGTCATGCGACGGTTGGAATAACTCAGCAACATATTGAGCAACGTGGAGGGAAACTTCATACGCCATCACAGTCGTCTACTACTGACATGGTTTACTCCGAACCAATGAGAACTGTTGGTCAATACACAGAGTTTCAATATTTATCAGCATGGCTGCTTCCAACTTTTCCCAGTCGTTTTCCAAATCATAATTAATATCATGCCAATGCAGTTCCAAAAGATCTTGGCAGGGATGCCGTCTCTCCCCACTCCTGTTTAAATTCGTGATCTATGAGATAATGAGACGAACGCTGGAAAGTCTCCAAAACCCCGGTGTTCAAATAGCATGTGAAGAAAACCTTGCGATCTGGAATACGCAGACGACATCGTTCTCATTTTCTAAGAGCAGAAGTCACGAGTGTTTTTGGATAGACTGACCAAAGTCATCCCGTCCTTTGGTATGCACTTTGCACCCATGAAGGTCATGCTCGTGAACGTGCAGTCACTGAACACGTCACTCAAAATCCAGGGAGAAGTACTGGAAGTTGTGGAGCGCCTTACTTATCTTGGCAGTTGCATTAGTTCTGATTGTAGTGACAGATGAGGTCAATGCACGAATCTGCAAGGCCCGGGTGACGTTAATTAATTCGAGACACCTATGGCATCAGAGTGGTGTATCCCTGAATCTCGAGGGACATGTGTATTAAGCTACAGTGTGGGCTATTTTGTTGTATGGCTGTGAGACTTGATCTGTTCGAGCAGCGGGACTGAGACGTCTTCAGATGTACGACAATCATTGTCTCAGAACCATAGCTCGTGTGGGTTGCTGTCGGTGTATCCGTAACGAGGCAATTAGAAAGCAAGTGTTCGGTTGTGCGACGGGGACATCCATTAAAGAATGTGTCCAGCACCGGAAGCTGCGTTGTTCGAGACATGTGTTGCGCATGCTGAAGTGCTGTTTTCCATGCCCAACTCACAGTGGCGTAAGTAGAGAGGTGACCAACCCTTGACTTGGCAGAGGGGTATAAGGAGACTACGGAACGATTGGGAGCAGTCAGAGCTACTAGCAGTTCAGGATGGGGACCGCGTGATCTCCACTACGTCTGGTTAGAGACACTGCAACATATGGCTGTCAACCGATGTCAGTGACGTTCTTGCTGTCAGTTTCTATCCAGATCGCCGGAGTGAATGTCTGGAGGTGTAGGCACCTTCGCAACAGACAAGTTGATATCACTCAGCGCTATAGTTAATGCAGGATGACAAAAGCTTCACTGGTCTTCCCGATCCTAATGGAAATATCGTTTTTGACTGGACCGCCAGGTCTAAATGAGCTGCTCGTGTTGGCAAATTTGTTTACTGGATGTGATTTCAAGGAGCACAGACAACTGACTTGGGCATTCATATCGCCCATAAGAACGACAACAATGGTGCATAGGTTGCTGAAAACTCTTTATCGACTAACAATCGGTCTCGCCCTTCTTGAGACTCACCAGGAGAACGCAGTCCCCGAGTCTCCGTCAACCTCAGGTTCTACTTGAACCCGCATTGCACGAAATTCGACTGTACATTCATTTGATCAGCTATTTGGTTTTGACGGGAAACTCGCCTGGAACCCAGCTGAACCTCTCGTTTATGATGTTTTTAATTAACTGAACGTGCTGCACCAAGCCACTTCATGTTTCAGTTGGTAAGATACTCGAGACATCGCAATATATTCTATGGGCGTAGTACACTACTCATCAGATTGCAGAAGACTCCAAAAAATGACCAGTTTCCCCCTTACTGGAGTTCATCACAAACGAGAGATTCAGGTGGATTCCGAGTAAGTCTTCCGTGGAAACCGAATACTACCATTACCACAACTTTTTGATGAGGAGTTCATGAACGGCTCCGCAGAATTTTAATAACAAATGTAACCCTACTTTGGTTTATATGCACGGCAACAGCGTTTGTAAGTGGTTGTTCCAGTTGCACTCCGTCTTTGTCTGGGTCACGTTTTTCAAGTATAAGCCCCGGTGAAGTACACGTTTTTTCATGTGTGATGAGAGTGATACTTAAAGCGCCACACAGCGACAATGTATGGCTACGCGTTCAAAAATGAGACATTTATTGCAATTTGTACAACAGGAAACGAGAAATCCTTTGTAGTTTTTTGGCATTACCATCAGCCGTGGAAACCAAATTGGTATGCAGAAGAGTATACACAAAGATATCAGTGCGTCTTGCTTGACGGATTAGCCCAGAGAAATCCCGATAGAAAGCACCTTCTTCACTGAAACTGCAATCCGTTGGGCCACATTCTGACACCATAAACAGGCACCGGTTTGGATGTTGAGTTTTATTTGATTGTTTGGAGTAGATAACCGAGGAATTCAAAGACTTCTGCTCCCTGGTGTTACGACGGTCAGATCCTAACGAACAACTAGATCTTTCGTAATATTCCACTGAGACTTCACTGGCTCTCCTTTTTGCAGCTAACTGAGCCGCGGCGCATTTTCTGCCATTAGTTCATTAGCAGTATAGCCCATCTTCATCCGGTATCGTTTGTCTTCTTAACCTTGAGATTTCCCACTCGAGCACTTAGACCATCAAACGCGACAAGATAAGTGCAATCAACCTCCTAAATCACCCAGCAAGCGCAGTTGTTGAAACTGGAATCCAATCCAATCAGGGGCTAAATGCGATCTCCACGCCATTTGTCAGGAGACGAGCAGGCCTTTACAACCGAACATCATACCGATTGGGTGGATATCGCGAGCCAGTTGCGGAGCGAACGAGGGCGTGTACCGATTGGTTAATATGTCAGCCAGTCAGGACCAAGCATCTGTACCTAGGCGCTTCTCGGCCCTTCACAAAGATTCTGGCGTGACCTCTTAGAACCTCGTGGTAACCTTTCGAACGTAGTTCCAACAGTTTTCCTGTGTATCCCTAAAGGGCTTTCTCAAGCTACTTTTTGATATCAATGGAAGCCGAAGGCCGTCAAATGAGTTGTGATACCGCTCACAGTTAACAGTAGTTCACGTACATTCTATGAGCCACCGTCCCTGGATAACCAGATGTGATGAACATGACTGATGCTCTATTGAGCCACCGTCCTGGATAACCAGATGTGATGAACATGACTGATGCTCTATTCATTGCTCTATTCATTATTCTCTTGTTTTACTATGCTATAAGCTGTACACATTCGCCAATTCGAATACATACGTGCTGGTTGTCACTCTTCGCTGAATTCTGGATTTCTAGTTTGTCGGGTTATACCGATATACGTACGAAACTTAATTCCCACATTTTGGCGTCGCGATTGGAACAATTCATCATGCCTGCCGAAATGGAACCATTAGATGTT